TTTCGATAACTTATGGGTCCGATGCGAATAAGTGTTACTACATGTAAGATTGCATGTCCCCAAACATAAATGGGGAGTTTCTTTCTTATAAATGGTAGTTTAGCTATCGATTGAAACCTTTCGATAAATAATTATCCTTAACCTTTTCCGAGTTTGACATAAGCAACAGTACGTTCAAACTTTATTTTAATAGCCAATCAATAACAATTTAATGCTTGAGAAATAAATTCATTAATATTATCAAGGTGACTTGTTTCAAAGGTATAATATGAAAATTATGCTCAAAGTCAAATGTTTTGCTAGTAATCTCGAAAACATCGGGTTTCGAGTAGATAATAAGCATATATGTGATTATTTTATGAATGCATTTATTAAAATCATAAAATATTTAAATGGTTCACATAGTGGATAAATTAATCCACATATATCACCTTGAATACATTCTAAAAATATTGGAGATTCAATTTCAATTTTACTTGGTGATGGCTTAATGATCAATTTGCTTTGAGAACATGCAGAATATGAAAATTCATTAAATCGAAGAATCTTCTAGCTCTTCAATAGATGTTCGTATGAATTTTTAATAATTTTTCGTATCATGAAAGACTCAAGATAACACAACTGGTCATGTCACATAATAAAAGTGTTTGAATTCTTAAACTTCGATTTACTATAGCATTTGTTTCAATCATTCCAATGTTTGTAATAAAGACTAGAAGAGAAAGCGAAAATATTTTTTAATACATATTTTCTACTCGATATAATTATTATAATATATAAGTATTCATAGTTACTATCTTGATATGATATCAATTTAGATGAATATTTTTGAAACTCAATAAATTTCTATGAGACTTTGAAGAGAATAGTACATCATTTATAATAAAATTGATCCTTTTAAATAATAACATAGTTGCTCTCCTGGAGCCTTTAAATTAGTCACTTCAAGTAATAATATATTGACTCTTCTAGAGCCTTTAAAAGTTATCTCTTCAAGTAATAATATATTCACTCTTCTATAGCTTCAAAAATTTATCTCTTTAGGTAATAATATAATCGCTCTTCTAAAGCTTTCTATTACATTGATATTATCATATATAATATTAACAAAAAATAATTAAATAAATAAATTCTTCATATATATATATATATATATAGTAAAATAAATTTATCACTATCTCTATCCAATTATAAGAAAATATAAAACATCTTATTTATAAATAAAAAAGCTAACAAATTATTGATTTCAATTACCTCCATTTTGATTTATAAAATTAGCCTCTATATTTTACTTTTTTTCTTTTTCAACGAGATTTGACAAGGCTTAATAAGGTGCTTTGATGTATGATCGGTACATGACCAATGTCCATTCATACCATATCTATAACATTCATTTTCAAAATACTAACTTCATCTATTTTCATTCTTTTCTTATTTTAATAGTTATCCACTTTTGGTGGTAAGATTTAATATTATGGTCATCACGATTATAATGATAATTATTTCGACTACATCCATGGCTATGATCACATCTTCTTCTATACCTAAAATTATTATAAATTGTCACATTCACTTTAGGAAATGGAGTATATCCAATTGGTCAAAATTTATTCTTTTTCATTAATAGCTTGTCATTTTTATTTAGTTGTCATGAACAAGTATGAAATTGATTTAAAATATTTCTTAAACTCTTTTTCTTGATATGCTACTGTAGGAGCATATTTAAGATATGAAAAATAGATGATATTAACTTAGAATCAAGCACTCATAATCAATAATTCTTGCCCAAAATGTCAAAGGCTACAAAATCAAGTTTTATGATGGTTGATATGATATCATTAAAATTGTATATTGCAAAGTATAATCATAATATTAGAAAATAAAGAAAAAATTTAATAATAAAATTTAAATAAAAACAAAAATAATAATAAAATTCGAACTTTTCAAATAATATATATTAGATTATTAGATTTTATATATTAAATCATTAAAATTTTTCAAATGTATATTTTATGTATGATTAGATTTAAAGTACATGATAAATTAGATACATACCTCTTAATGATCTAAATAATAATTTAAATCCAATTGGTAGAATATTTGTGCGAAGAAATCCAATAGTTGAAACAATTGATTAAGTTTTTTGATAGATCCATACCTCATGGTCTATTGTCTCGATTGGTTAGAGCTTCGTATCGATAACGTGTTATAAAATAAATAGAAATAATTGGAGAATTGAAGGAAATGATGATAAAAAATGAAATCAACATAATGTGAATAAAAGTGATAAGAACTTCAAAGTTTTCCTTATTTTTTCTAGAAAACTTTTACATCAACTAATGAACAATCAAACTATTTATAGGCTTCAAAATTGAGAAAAGAATTGGAATGGATCATGAATAATTAAAAGTACATCAATTACATCACCCTTTCAATTTCTCATAGTAAATGATGAATTGAATCACATTAAGAATTATGAGTATTGGGATATGAAAAATAGAAGAATATTCATATGGACATAATTATTTCATAACAATTTTTTTTTAAGGTATCCTAGCTTTAAAGACTCAAACTAATCTTTTGTTGTCCAAGTTGAATATACAAAGCAAACACAACTTTCCAAAAAGTTTTCTCGTATACATAAGGACTCGAAGTCGAGACTACTTCTTTAATCGGCTAGAGCTCATTTCATTCAAATCTTCTTGGATAATAATTATTTTATTTTTAAAACATAATTATTTAGTTGTTATATTTTTAAATTTATTTGTAAATTAATTCTTTTTTTCAATTTTTTTATGAAATAGAAAAAGTTAAAAAAATAAACAAATAATATAAAAAGATTGACAACAAAAAAAGATATTTTTTGAAATAAAACAATATTAAATTAATCTTCATTAACATTGGTTAATAAACTAATTAATTACCTTTTAAAACAAGAAGAATAATCTAATTCATTTTTCTAAATTAGAGGGATTAATTTATAATATACTCGCTTAGATGCCCCTAAACGAAACAAAGCAAGAAAAAAAAAAAGAAAATTCTAGAAGTCTCTCTCATCATCTCATAAAACCTACTCTAAAACAAATTTTAGGGTTTTTATCTTCTACACTCGAGCTCAAACTCTAACATTTCGCAAACCAAACTCAAAGTAGGTACTTTTATAGTATCTCTTATGCCTTGTGTAAGATTTCATTAACCGCAATTGCTACTATATCTTATGTATTTTTGTTTGATTGACTTTTTTTAAATTGCTATCAAAGGGACTAAAGAAAAGAAATAATGGCAACAGTACGAGTTCACCGAATATAATTTTTTTAAAAATAAATTCGGATAAAATACAAATGATCTTTTAAAACCATAAAGTTAAATATAAATCAAAAGAAAATAGATTTTGAATATATAAAATTTAAACAAAAACTAAAATAAAAATCTTGGCTAAAGAGATAAAAAATTGAAACAGACCTCTCAAAATATAATTTTTTAGAGAATATTTTAAATAAATTCAGATAAAATACCAAATGACCTCTTAAATTTAAATATATATCAAAAGAAGATATGTTTTGAATATATAAAAATTTAAACCAAAAATAAAATAAATATATGGGATAAATAAATTAGAAATGGAAATAACATCTAAAAATATAATATTTATATGAAAAAATTAAATAAATCCAGATAAAATTCCAAATGTCCTTTTAAAATAATCAAGTTAAATATAGATCAAAAGAAGATAGATTTTGAATATATCAAAATTTAAACAAGAAATAAAATAAATATCTAGACTAAAGAGATGAAAAATTAAAAAAATGACTAAAAATACAATATTTATGAGAATAATTTAAATAAATACAAATAAAATACCGAATGATCTTTTAAAAACATAAAGTTAAATATAGATTAAAAGAAGATAGATTTTGAATATAAAAAAATTTAAACCAAAAATAAAATTGAAATCCGAACAAAAGAGATGAAAAATTGAAACAATGGCTAAAAATACAATATTTATGAAAATAATTTTAAAAAATTCAGATAAAATACCAATTGACTTCTTGTAATCATAAAGCTAAATATAGATCGAAAGAATATAGATTTTGAATAAATAAAATTTTTTTAAAAAAATAAATAAAAGTTTGGACTAAAGAGATGAAAAATTGAAACGACCTTTAAAAATACTATATTTATGAGATTATTTAAATAATTTCAAATAAACTACCAAATGACCTCTTAAAATCATAAATTTAAATATAGAACAAAAGAAGATAGATTTATAATATATAAAAATTTGAACAAAAAATAAAATGAAGTTGCTTAAGCAAACATACAAAGGCGGACACAACTACACAAGGACTCGAATCCGAGACCACTTGGTTAAGCGATTAGAAGTCATTTCACTCAAACCAACCTTCGGGGTAATAATTATTTTATTTTTAAAAAATAATTAATTTGTTCTTATGTTTTTAAATCTATTTGTAAAGTAATTCTTTTTTTTTTTTATGAAATAGAAAAAGTAAAAAGTAAAAAATAATAATATAAAAAGATTAAATTTTTTTTGAAATAAAATAATATTAAATTAACTGTAATTAATATTGGTTAATAGACTAATTAATTACTTTTTAAAACAAGAAGGATAATTTAACTCGTTTTCCTAAATTAGAAGGACTAATTTATTATATATTCGCTTAGACGCCCCCAAACAAAACAAAGGAAAAAAAAAAAACAAAACAAAAATTCTAGAAGCCTCTCTTATCATCTCATAAAACCTACTTTAAAACATTTCTCCATCTGTACTAGGGTTTTTATCTTCTCCACTCAAGCTCAAACTCTAACATTTCTCGAACGGTCGAACCAAACTCAAAGCAGGTACTTATGTTATCTCTTATGCCTTGCGTAAGATTTCATTAACTGCAATTGCTACTGTATCTGATGTATTTTTGTTTGATTGAAATTTTTTTTTTTTTTTTTTTTTGAATTGCTATCAGAGGGACTAAAGAAAAGAAATAATGGCAACAGCCCAGTTGACCGCATCCTCAATTTCGGTTTCAGCAAGGAACTTGTCTTCCTTTGAAGGATTAAGACCTTCAAATGTTATGTTTGCATCTTTTAATCCGGCTGCTGGCGTTGTTCTCTCTCAACGCTCTTTTCGTGGCTTGGTCGTTAAAGCTGCCACTGTTGTTGCTCCGAAGGTTAAAATTAAATCTCTTTACCAGCCATTTTTTTTAAGTGCTGTATGTATGCTTAGCGTGCTTTGTTGTTTCTTTCTGTTTTTGGTTTCTTGTGATTCTAGAAATTCTGTTTGCATAAAATGGTTTCAATTAGAAATTAAAGTGTGCCGTTTCTGGATGCTGAGTACTAAATTGTTTTGGGGCATTTTCTCATACCTCTTATTGGGGTGTCTTTTTTTTTTTATGTATTTTTATGAAGATACGTTTTTTATTATCAATCGCAACCATAGTAGGTCGATTTCATATGCTTTAATTTGATAAACTGCTTCTTGTTGGTTTTAATTTAATGCCTTTAATGGCTTGTCTGATTTAATGGTACTTCATTTTTGTAGTACACTTCCATTAAGCCTTTGGGTGATAGAGTGTTGGTGAAGATCAAGACTGTAGAGGAGAAGACTGAGGGTGGCATCTTACTTCCATCTTCTGCTCAAACAAAGCCTCAAGGTGGTGAGGTGGTTGCTGTTGGTGAAGGGAAGACAATTGGGAAGACAAAGCTTGACATTTCTGTGAAGGTTATTTCTTGTCGATTATATGTTTTCTAATTCTCTTGTTTTCATTCTTAACATATTACTGAATTGTTTGGTTGGTCGGTTGCTGCTTTACTTTTATAGACTGGCACCCAGGTTGTATATTCGAAGTATGCAGGGACTGAGGTGGAGTTTGATGGTTCAAGTCATCTTATACTAAAAGAGGATGATATCGTTGGCATCCTTGAGACAGATGATATCAAGGATCTTAAGCCTTTGAATGATAGAGTATTCATAAAGGTACATTACCCTCCACTATCCCTTGGTTTTGTGCATACATTAATTATCATTATTAGAATGCTGTTATCTTTGGAGACCAATTGTTTTTAGTTTTTCAGTGTTTTAGTTACAGAAAAGGTAATTGATCTTGCACTGAACCATTCCCATTTTTCATCTTCTGTTGCATGTTTAGGTGTTCTGAACATGATTGCATGCCGTGTTAGCAATACGTCTATGATAAATCTGTTTATGCTTCATGGTTGTTTTGGATTTGATTTTAGGTCGCTGAGGCAGAGGAGAAAACTGCTGGAGGCTTGTTGCTGACACAGGCGAACAAAGAGAAACCTTCTATTGGCACAGTAAGATCTAGTGTTTTGTACATTTCACTCATGCATCACTGGAAAAGTTCGTCTATTTGTAATGCATATACTGCTTTTTTGATGAACAGGTGATAGCAGTTGGACCTGGACCACTTGATGAGGAAGGTAACAGGAAGGCACTATCCATCTCCCCGGGAAACACAGTTTTGTACTCCAAGTATGCAGGAAATGACTTCAAAGGGAATGATGGTACCAACTACATCGCATTGAGAGCTTCTGATGTAATGGCTATACTCTCTTAGTTGGCCGTTACAATATGCTTTACCTGTATCACTGAATTTTGTGGTTGAGTTGCCTAAAGGCATACGGATTGTGATTGTAGTCTCTGAATGTAATTTGAATTGCTGGATTGTTGAAACAAATTTTAGCACATTCTCACTCAGATTTCTGGCAGACTCCTCCAGTGTTGGTTGGGTGGGAGGGTTGGATTTTGGTTGAAAAAAGATGTGGATGGTGATGCTAAATTGAATGCACTGGTTAAAGCAGATTTCAATACAATCGATGTAGGTGTGTGGGTGCGATTGATTTCTTCTTGCGCCAGTAATAGTAGGCCGTTTGCGTTGAGGGCCTTTTCCTACTCCTCCTCCACTATGATAAATTAATTTAGGTACAATATAGAAGTGGGATACTTTTCATGGAAGGTGCAGCTGGTTCGATACACAATGCGATGCTTATATGCTTGAAAAAATGCACTTAGTTTTGTTCCGTGTCACATGCGTTTTCATCATTTCTACAACATATCGAAGTTTATCACTAGTTCACGAGAGGACCATTTAGTGACACTGAAGGGTAGAAAGTGCTACTCTCAACAAAATGTCATTAATCGTCATAGCATTTACAAGAGAATGTTTTAAATGGGCAGTAGATTGGCAAGACGCTTATTGGATCCTTTGCCTTCTGTCCCCTCTCCTGGCAGTAATCGGCAGTACTACTGGTGGTACGTGGAATACTACCAGCAAAAGTTGGAACAAAGGTGCCAGTATTTGAGGGATTGTTGTTGGACAACCCAGAGCTCAAGCACCTAGCAACATATCTGTGGCAAGAGCTCGACTACCTGCACCAAGATAAGGTGATTCTCGTCACATCTTCCCGTGTGTAGAAGTTACATTTTCCCTTGTTACTCAACTTAAAAATCATTGACAGGAACGCCTGGGATTGCTGCCGGTGGCAAAAAGGGTTTAACCATTGAGAGAAGTGAACTGGGGCTCACATAATGCACCTGACTCATTTATCTGTTAAATGAGGCGGCTGAATTATCATCGTACTGTCCTCTCCAGACATTCCCACTATCAGTGCCACTAGAAGCTTGATTGGGAACAGGCACGTTACCAAGATCTCCATCCAAGCTCATCTGTTGCACTTCAGCAGATGACAGTATCTTTATGCTCTGAACACAGCTTACAAACTCCCTGAAAGCAATTTCAAAATGCATATTTGAGAATTAAACAGGTCATAAAAGGACACAACAGAAATAATATTATAAGTACCGAGGTGTGTCACTTACTCCCAAGGATCGTCACCAACAAGTAATATGTCATTTTCATGATCAACGTAAACCAGTTTCCAGTCTGAACTTTGTGGATCTTCTAGTTGCCCTTCAATGCCAAACATTCGGGCCAAAGCATGTCTAAGCTCGTCATAACCTTTATAACGGGTGACGTCAATAGATCTTCCAACTGAGCCACGCTTTTGGACCTTCACCAATTTGAACCAGTGTTAGGATATTTATTCAACTACAACCAAAATTATCTACAGTGGAATAATCTTATTTGAAGAATTTTTACTAGTTTACTAGTCATGATATCACTGTAGATAGCTTAAGAGTTGATTTCTCCTCCACAGGGAAAAGGATTATAAGCTCCAAACAATCAAATAATAAAAACAAACACTGATTTCTTTCTAGGCAAACATTTTCAGTCTGTTAAGCAGCAGCTTCTTGGAGAGATCAAAAGCGAGAGAAAGAGGGAATAGGCAGGATGACAAACCTTTGTATATGTACGCATTCGTTGAGTCTGGTTGGTCCACAATCCATTGTTCAAAACCCCAGTATCATTGATGGCAACGTCATTTGAACAACCAGGCTTGAAAGGTATGTTTGGCACACCAAATGACTGAGAGCTAATTGCAGCAGTGGACAACTCTGTCTCAATATCTCGGGTAGTACCACCATAATTAGCAAGCAAGTTCTGAAGATCCTTTTGAGAGTCATATCCCCTCGACAATAGAGTATCGGGTGCCAAAGCATCAATGTTAGATGCAAAAGGAAGACTGTTTCGAGGATGTGATTGGACATCACCATCCAAGCCAAAGGTTGGGACCGAGAAATTCTGCTGGATGGTACCAGCATCTAGGCAATACGATGTTCCAGAAGAGGAAGCTTCCAATTGATCAGTCACAGCACCTTTATATTTTAGTTGGTCTAGACCTTTTGAGCTGGGAAACTCATTCTTGACATGAATTTCAGACTTGCTTTGGAGATCTTGAACAAGATTACTTGCAGGCTCAATAGCTGAATCACCCAGCAGCATGGCTGGAGCTTGTTGGTTCCTGTTCTGGAAATTTGGTGGAGAAATCTGGCAATTATTAGTGGAAGGTGAGGTAGAACAAGATGGCGCTTCTACATCTGTAATACTTGAATGGGCTCCAACTGCCATATGTGGTTTCTGCATGCCATGGCGCTGGTTTATAGGAAACGATTGTGTTCGCATTAGTGCGGCTGTTGAAAAGCTATTGCTGCCAGGTGGCTGCTGATTCTGTGACAGAGGCGACTGCTGAAGTTGCTGGTTTAGCTGATGAGTCTGCTGCTGTTGTTGTTGCTGCAGCTGCTGAGACTGCAGAAGTGAGCTTGCAGGGGAGAGCTGCTGCTGTTGCTGCACTTTCTGTAGCAACTGTAAGTGAAGCTGTTGCTCAGAGTGGCCGTGCTGCGATAGCTGTTGCATTTGTTGCTGTGGCTGTGTCTGTGCCCTCTGTGATAGGTTTTGCTGTAACAATAGCAGTGGGGACTGTTGCAATTGAGTCTGTTGCTGTTGTCTCTGTAAAAGGTTAGATTGCTGCTCCATTTGTTGATGAAACTGCGAGTCTTGTGGTAAAGAGGTCAGCGGATATGAACTTTTATTAGCAGAAGGGATGCTTTGGGATTGGGAATTGCTTGCCAGTAACTGCTGCTGCTGCTGAAGCTGAGAGTATACAACTGGTTGCTGCAAATTCTGATTTGGAATCTGGTTCGGGGAAACCACACTGTCATTTAGAGTAGGTGGTTGGAAAATCTGCTGCTGCTGCTGCTGTTGATGTGCCTGTGGCCGATGCTGCTGCTGTTGCTGTTGATGCTGTTGCTGTTGCTGTTGCTGTTGCTGCTGTTGTGGTTGCTGTTGGGGATAAGGTGGCTGCTGTTGGTTAATAGGAGTCTGCAATAATTGTTGCAGCTGCTGTTGCTGAGTCCATGCTGTTGGTAGTTGAGGCAACTGACTGACTTGGTTTTGTGGATTTGTTTTGTTAAATTGGATACTTGGAGCAGATAGGCCAGGGGCTTGAAAATTCAGTAACTTTGATGGATCATCAGCGCTAAGGTTATTATTCATGGCATTGGAAGGAACCATTGATGGGAAGAATCCTGATTGAGCAGCTGGAAACTGATTATTTTGCTGCATGCTCATCCATTGAACTAAGCTCAAACCAGGAAAGACTGAGCTTGGGGCATCCTTCATGCCAAATTCATCTCCAAGCCAAGGCATGGCTCTTTTAAAAGCATTCTCTATATCAGACTCGTCATCTGCAAAAGCACTACAAAAGATCAGTTCTCAAACATGCAGCAATCTTTAATGAAAACAGATGATGAATTAACAACTATCAAGGATAGTATTAGAGTAAGTGGACAAATGTTGGTCTATTTAGCATTCTACTTCATGGGATATGTTGATTTATTTGGATATACTGGACCTTAAAAATTAATTCCCTTTATAGATATTAAATTCCAGATACGAAAAATTTGTCTGAGTACCAAGCAATATAGATTTTTTTTTTTTTTTTCATACATCCAATCATCATAAGAATTAAGAAAATCAACATGAGTTCGGCACTATTGCTGGACACAACAAAGACATCAATAGTTATCATACTACAGTAACAGGAAAAACATAGAAGAAAACAAAAGTGAAGTTGAAACCTCCTAGAATCATTGTAAATGGCAAAAAGAAATATTGCAGCAGGTGAAACTATTTTGTAGTACAACATAGAAGTGGGGTAGTTGAATTTACCTGGCATCCCTGGCTGCTTAGGGAACTTTGGTCTGAAAAATGGAGGTGGGCATATGTAGAAAGGAGTTACAACCGGCTCAATCTCCCAAATCGCAACTCTGCTTGGTCGTTCACCAGCAGTTGATTCATCCCACCCGACCTATCACAATTGAGAATTGGTTGGGTAAGCTAATAATTAGTCATTTGATTTATTCTAGAGAGAAATATCTCCATAAAAAGTAAGGTATGCACCTGAATGAGTATAGAGAGAATAATCTAAGGACAAGTAAAACCAAAATCAATAGCAACCAAGTACCAAACAGAGATTTAAAATCAAGGTTTGGCAGAGAAGAATTCATGTTTTCAAGCTCGTATTTTAGGTAAAACTATAATCAATACACTCTAGAAGGTCACTAGACAGATTGTGCAACCAAGAAACTGAGTTCAAAGAATGAAGCTCAAGCACAACATGCCTCTAAAATAGTCCACTAGACTTTCTGTTAAAACTTGGCAAATTGTTACATGAGAACACACAACACAACTAAGTTACATAGCCCCCATTTCATACAAAATGTACAAGCAACTAATAATACCTGAAGATTGCGCCACTGCGAATTTTTCCAGCGCACTGGATCCATATCACTGATGCCAGTGATTGTACCCATGTATCTACGCACTCCTGACTCTTCAGTCTCAAACATCATTCTAAATCTCATGCCAAGTGACACTTGCGTATACATGGCTTTATTATACTTGGAGAAGGGAATCACAAACTCAGAAGGGCTTGCCCTATTTAAATCAATTAATTTGTTAGGCCATGCCTTTGGCTTCATAAATTAACATTTTCTATTGACCAGATAAATTATGTATTTGGATAACAGCATAAACAAGTTAGTGCAGTACCTTGGATTGTAAAATATAGTAAATGGGCTGTTGTTTGCAGCAGCATGAGCTGCAGCAGCAAGAATTCCAATGTGCATACTATCACTGGATATGACTGATGAAGAGAGAGCTGGTTGTTGTCTATTGGCACGCCTTATACCCAATAGAAGCTGCGATTTTTCATCTCTACATAAAACAAGATTATTCATCTTAACAGGATGATGTTCCACAACAAAAACTTTCTTATCAAAGATTCAATTTCATACCTTATGAATAGAACGGAATCACCAGCGAAAAGTCTTTTTGTGCTGACAAAGACACTCCAACCTGTAGTGAGCAGGTGCCTTTTTGGTTGCCCTATGATCAAGGAACTTACAGTTTAATGCACTTTCTGCTGGTTTCCATGTTATAAGAAATCAAATATGTAAAAACCTCCTCATAATATTTGATCAAAGTCATAAAATATATATTCTTCACAAGGCATCAGTTATACTAAAGCAGATTGAAATTTCATTTTCTATTTGTGAATAAATTCGAATATTAATGCTAACGCTGGAACTCGAATTTACAAATTTCACTGGTTCGGAACCACTTCATAAGGAGCCAGGAAAACTATATATATATATATATATACACATCCACAGATGAGTTTAGAAGAAAGACCATTTCATTTCCATCTAGCAACCTTATACAAATATTTTACTATGAAGTAGCATAAAGTAGTTTATGTATCAAAAAGAGGCTATACCTCGATAAATATGTCTAAACGTCCATGTATTGTCATGTAAATCTCTGGCCATCAGCTCCTGAGCAGGTGGTTGCATTGAAAAGTCCTATTCAATATTGTCAATGGTGAGCATTTGGAAGGCAGATGCAGACATATGATCCATTATAAATTTTAAATTTGGTCAACTTTGAAAAGATTGTACGCACTAGAGGAGGGAAAATCTTCTCAGCTGCTCGACGAGGTACAGAAAATCCACCATGAGTACTTGTGTCACTAGCTGTAAGAGTTTTGCAGAAGAACTCAGTAGGTTGCCTGTTTTGCTTTAGCCCCATGTCAGATGCCAGCAGTGCTTCCTTGTCATACTGTAGAACAGATATTTTAACCAGCCATCCTCATAAGTACATTCATTTAGCATAGGAATAGAACAAGCGAAAAATGTTTTATTATAATGTTTAAAGTAAATAGCTGACCTACTTTGCTTACTGGTTGAAGGGTCATCTGTGCATAGACCTCATCAGTTTCCACATCAGCCTGAGAAAATATACACATGAATCGTTAGATATAAAATTTTGGAATATCAAAATTATGTTCCAGAGAAGCAATCAGAATTCTAATACTAATTCTTCTCAAGCAAGAAAATCCAAGGCATGCAAGAACACCAGCTATTCACGATATGCACCAACTTCAAGCAAAGCAGTGTTTTTTTTTTTTTTAAGATTTTCAATTATTACAAAGTGCTGCATGGAACAATGGAGGCTTTCATACATGCAACGTGACATTATGAAGCATGCAAATCAACTTGGAAGGAAGGTTGGGGTAGCTCGGTATGAAATCAGTCTCCTTTTGCATTGATGCTGCAACCTGAAAGTTTTAGTGTCAAAGAAACTTTCATTAGAAACGACAATCCAGAGTAGCTGCTCAATTAGATTTAGTGAAGGTAACATACCTGCTCACTGTGGCCTTGAGGAAAGTAAACTACGAGGCTTCCAAGTGGAGGCAAGGAAACCAGTGGCCCGGCACAAGCATGCCACAACTCTGAATTGATGCTCTTTCTTTCTCCTGTTCAGAACCAATCAGAATGCCATCACAATCAAACAAGCCCTATATTGATTGAACTATAAGAATATAAAATATATTTCACATAAACAATTCAGTCTTTCTGAAAATACAAAGTAAATGTAATTTCAAAATAAGCAGGTTCTTATTTCTGGCCCTGAAAATAAGGATAAACAGTATGTAACAATCATGATTTTATCGACCACACAGAATTTATTTCCAGTGGTACTGAAAGGAACTTGCTGAATGTCTTACGAGTATATTTTCAGCCCCATCGCTCTTTTATCCTAAACGTTAAGATTTTATGAATGTCAAATAGTTCATGTCAGAAATTTTTTTCACCAGACAGAAAATAAGCTGTCAATAAATCCAGCAATGGAAATAGAGAAATTCAGGAATTTGAATGGAAGAAAATTTTCAAGATTCAGAACATTTAAAATTCTGTTTGAAATCAAACAGGAGACTGCATAAAATCAGAAACAGATTAAATTGGAACCTTTGAGGTGTTAATTTTAACAACAAACTAGTGCAACGCACATATCTCCCTGCATAACTTCTAGTATAGCAAGGTAACTCTAAATCTTTCAAACGAAAACCTGATACTCAAAACCATATGAGATGCCAAAAAAAGTGAGATAAAGGTAAATGATCTACCAACTGAAACTCCCAAATGCAAACATGTAAGCCGTATAGCGTCAGAAATCTTTGATGTTAGCAAGTGTAAGAGATTAGAAAAATAGTTGCTTCCACATAAAAGGGGGAAAAAAAAGGGGGATAAAACTATCATAACTGCGAATAAAATCTCAACCTTCAATCAACAATACATGCTACGAAAAGTAGGGGGGAAAGGGTAATAAATCACCAGATTCCACCTCCAAAAATCTTCACCAGGATAAAGGAAGCATAAGCTTAGGTATAAAGAAGTGACCATGAAAATCAAACAAACAAGGCAAAGAAATGGATTTTGAATAAAAACAACTACCTTCTGCAGAATTTGGCGAGAACCCATTTGAAGGAACCTTCATTCTTGCAGATATTAATAAAAAAACACTTTCTTTTTTTCCAATCACTTGCTCTATTCCACACAAGTTCTAACCATCCACCTCAAACCCAACTCCTTTTTTATTTACTTTTAAGTTCTAACTACACAGCCATTGCCAATAATTCCAGCATCAGTTCTCTTCAAATGCTCAGAAAGAAACAAAAAATCGCCTTTAAACCAAGAAATCAAACCCCAACTCACTCACTCACTTAACAAACAAAACCAGACTCAAAAGGGAAACAAACTTTCTTTCCTCAGCTACTCCTGTCTTCCAGAAATCCTGAGACCCCAGTAAGATGCTAATCTTGTCCATCTCAAAAAGATCAGAGATTTTGATCACGAAAACAAATAAAAAATCCCATTTTCCAGTTCATTTAACTTGGGAAGGATCAAAGAGAGATGGAAGCTGAATTGTCGCTGAGAAATCAGGGGTAGCAGAAGCAGAAGCACAAGCAAAAGCACAAGCAAAGACAGCTTTTTTATTGATGTCAACAAGCCGACATATAATAGACTCACACAGACAATCACTCAGACCTCTCTGTTCTTTTTTTTTTTCCCCAGTAAAATAAACAGAGCAAAAGGAAATATAAAAGGCATGATCATTAATTATTGTTATCGGTCAGTTTTAACTGTATTATGTTCCTGGTAACACATTAAAAATTCAGGAATAATTAAAGCTGTAAGGCTATTAATTCGTTTGTGAAGAAAAGTCAGATAATATATTTTGAAAAAAATTTATTTCTTAAATTAATTTATACAATTTACTTTTCCACGAAAGCAAATTAGTGAATCGTAGAATTTTTTTCTTAAATACAGCTAGTAATAAAATAATGGAACTCAGGATTATTTGCCTATCCACGAAACTCTTCTTTAGCAACTTTTTTATCATCTGGCAAGAGGAGACTACTACTACTTGCTCAAAAAGTCCTATTTGGCATAATATGATCATTTGCTAATTATGTTGTTTAATTACTAATTTTACGTATTGTGCAATGTTATAATGACTGCAGGTGAAATGACGTCAAACTGCACAGTTTCAACGGATATTTTCAAAATAATTATTAATACCAAGACTGTAAGATTTATGAGAATTTTATTTTGCACAGTTTGATCTGATACCTATATATAATTAACATACTCCCTTCTGTTATAAGTATAATTCTTATGTAATTAATTAGACATGTCAAATAACACGCTGATGATTTTAATTTTAAACTATGAAACACAACAAAAAAAATATGGGAGAGTGTTATTATCAATGCAACGGCAATTGCCAGTTAATATTAACAAAACCTTATCACATGTCCAAAGTGTGTGTATGTATATATATCACTTTGGACATGTGATAAGGTATATTCCCGTCTCAAAAAATATTCATTCTTATAATTAAGGACTTTAATTTTAGATAGATTTTATCCTTAGATTAATATTGGTTTCATATGATGCAGTATTAAATTTGATAACTAATAATTTTAATAAAAAAATTCAAAAATATAAAAAAAATAACTAATATGAAATAATAATTAATAATTTTTTAAATTGTGTTAAAAAAAAAAAAACGATCTCTTTAAGACAGAATATGTAAGAGATGTGCTACTATTTAAAAAGCTCTATAAAAGTTTGCTTAGAGTCAAGCTCATACAAAAGATTGGAACATTTAACCTTATGTCAATGTTGGAGGCTTCCCGGTTATTGTTAAAAGTTTCGTATTGCTTGGACTGAAAGAAGAAAAAAGACTGATAAATGCTCGCTTATTAATTAGCTATCACAGTATGTTGTTTGCCCATAATTAATCTTCTAAACACTTGAAGAAAAAAAAAACAACATTAATTCTATAGTAGAAATTACTTGAGTAAGATTGCACAAGTTTTTGAATATTTACTTCCCAATTCAAGCATCAGGAAAGAAGATTTGTATTATAAATATATATTTCAAATTTAAAGTTGTGGTGATCTACTAAAATTTTGTAATTTGCAGCCGAAAGAAAGAGAAGGGCCTTCCTTAATTTTTGATAAATAAATAAATGATTCTAGACCATAGAAAAGGTGGAATTTATTTTCACATTAAGAATAGGCCACTAGCCGGAAAAGCAGGAGATCTTCACATGTCACAAAGTTTGGTGGTTCCAACTTAGGACATCATTATACATCAATTAAAGCTAAGCATGGACAATTAATTACTTTGGCCAATTTTTTTAATGGTCAAATTAAAGAGGAACTTCTTTATTACTTATATTGTATGCAGCAGCTGAGATTCTTATGAGGAGATCCTGATTTTTTTAAGTGTGTCCATATTCCATAATGCTGTAGGACCTGCCCACTTTTTACCTCATATTCCTCTCCTCCCAATCAAATAAACCATACTCTTCCCTCCCCTTCAAAATGAAAAGAAAATGAAAGAAATTAAAAAAAAAAAAAAAAGACTCAAGCATCCTAAATGAGAGGAAGCAAAGCCACTCAATTTATGAAACAACTAATTGTGTGTGTTTTTTTAAAGCGTATGATACGAATGTGAAGGACAGAAAATGCTCCTATTTTTCTTCAAATTTATTCTATTAATGGGTTATGTTAGTGACTGTCAAAACACTGTTTATGTTATTAGTTTTCATGCCTGGGTCTTTAGAGTAAAGTATGCGTGTGATTATGTTTAGAAACGCATGCCTGAAAAACACTAAAACATGCGTGTGATTATGTTTATAAATTTGTAAACACGGTAATTGAAAGTTTTTCTAATAAATTAAGTCATTCCATCTGGTCAAATGTAAAGCATTCTAACCATAATTAAGAAACAACTTCTTTTTTTTTTTGTTGGGGTATATATATGTTACCTAACAATTTACATTTTGAGATTAAATATGTGAGGTCGAGTTTGTCCTCAAAGAGGTTTGCAAAAACTCTATAAAGTACCTAAATTCTCCCAAAGGGTGATAGCAAAGAGTTCCATTGAAATATATATACATATGTTGACAATGCGGCGCGGTTGGCTTTGGATAAACAATGATGGAAAGTTTTCGTTGAAATGAATATATATATATAAGAAAATATATTTAATCTGTGATATTTTTTATAAATCAAATATTTGAGTATACGATCGTGTTTATATATTATATAAAAAAATATATATTTAATCTGGGATATTTTTTATAAATCAAATATTTCTACAGAGTATACGATCGTGTTTATATATTTATATGTATAAACACGATCGTATACTCTGTAGAAATATTTGATTTATAAAAAATATTAAATATATTTTCTTAAAGAAATTTTATTAATTAATCAAAACTTACAGGTCCTTTTTTTCTTTATAAGCTATGTAAATCTCTAAAAAATATAAATATGCTTTCAAAATTACTCTTAACCTTTAAACCATTTTATTAACTTGTTATTTTGATTGTCAAAACTCTAAAAGTGCTGTAAAACAACTAATAACTATGAAAATGATATAAATAATTAAATCAAATTCAGCAAATAATTAAATTGAATCCGTGATTTTTGTCTTGTATCGCTTTTGAGTACTTTAAATAAAATCATTTATAAGAATTTTATTAATTCTTTTGATAAATCTTACTAATAATAATCAATAAAAAAATTCTTTAAACAAATTATTAAACTTCATCCTTGGTTTTTATCTCGTGCCACCTTTGAATCTTTTAAAACAAAAAAAAAAAAAAAAAAAAACATTCATAAAAATTTTATTATCCTTTGAATAAACCTTATTAATAATAAAAAATAATCTCTTTAAATAAAAGGACCTCATAAACTTTTATTGACACCATGTATTGTATTAAAGAATATTGCAAAAAATTTTGTTCAAATTGTGGCTTGTGAAATAGATTAGAACAAATCTTCAATTTTTTTTCGGAGCTTTTATAATATAAAAATATGCTTAACCTTATAATTTGTCTTTGTGTTTGTGTTCAATCGTTAATTTTACCCATGTATTTTCAGTTTAGTCAATCACCCCTTTATATTATCCGATTTGAGTGAGGTGGCATTAAGTGGATCCAATCTAAAAATAAAGATAAAGTAAAAAAAGATAAATAAATTAATTAAAGGATAACCCAAAATGATTTCAAATTTTTTAACATTAATATATATATATATATATATATATATATATATAGGAAAAATAGAAAAAATCCTGAATGATTTCAAATTTTTTTAGAAGCTCTAGATAAATCTCACCTGAATGATTTTCATCATAGGGCTATTTAAGTAATTTGGTTTTTAGGATAAATGATATAACATTGAAGAATAGATTTTTTTTTTTTTTAAATAAAGTTTAGAGATGTCAAAATACAAATTAAAAATTTAGGGATTGGATTTCAAATAGAATAAGGTTTAAGGGAGTTATAACCCTTTGTAAAGACAAGGGGTGGGAGATATGTTGGTTCAAGGGCTACCAACCTTAGTTTTAATTAATCAACAAACTAATTTAATCTAATTGAGGTTTTTATACTTTAAATTATTTATTGTTGTAGCTAGCACATGATTAAGTTAGGTGAATGCAATGTTTAGACTAGACTTGCTTATCATAGACCTTTCAAGTATAGAAGTGCAACATTTTACAAGCATTGAAAGAAGTATGTATGATTCTCGATATCTTGAAGACCATTTCCAAAAATGTAAAGATTGAAGCATTCATGTGATGAAAATTTTTAGTCTAATTTTTTACTATATTATAAAATTACTAAATATGTTTGATGACAATCATGACGTTCTTAAATTATATTAAAAAAAAAAAAAATTTAGCAAGACCGTGCATGTTAGTCATAGGCATATTAGTCATATCCATAAAGATCATATGAGCCTAGTTGGGTATGGAAAAATTGAGAAAAATTAACATTAGACACGAAAGAAAAACTCAAGACTAGCTTAATAGTATCAAAACTAGTTAAATAAACCTAGAACCGACTAAGTTGGCTTTAGGACTCGCTTGAGTAGAGTTTTGCCTAAAATATTGCGTGTGTTGGTAAGAATTTGTGCAACTGCTATTTTCATACACAACATTAATATCTTACATCTTCTATAAATACCCTTTGTTCCTGTGCATTTTATCAAGAGAAACGAGAAAGAAAAGTGTCAAGAAACTTAGAGAAACACTTGCAAATCATAACATCTTTCTTAAGAGTTTAATTGGTTGATACCTTTTATATTATGCTCGTTTTGTTTAATTTTGTTTGATTGGCTGTCTTGTTGAATGTAATCATTTGAGTTACTTAAACACTTATTGAAATATTTATGGTTGATGTGAGAGAGGCACGAGATCAACATTTAGGTCAATGGTAGACAAAAGATTGTAAAAGGTTTG